TTAAGGGGTGGTCTGCCCAGTGTGAGGGGCTATGTCTGGGTGTTTCCGTAGGGGCGACCTCGGTGGAGAGTCCGAACCAAATGCCCGCACTGCACATTCCCCCCGAGTATGAGGATTTGGCACTCGTGTTTAGCAAGACGAGAGCGGCGCGGTTGCCGCCTCATAGACAGGGGGATTGTGCGATAGACCTCCAGGCAGGAGCTGCGCTCCCGCGGAGCCATGTGTATCCTTTGTCACAAGAGGAGAAGAGGGCGATGGAGACATACATTGCCGAGTCTCTGAGACAGGGATACATACGGCCCTCCACTTCACCCGCGTCCTCAAGCTTCTTTTTTGTGAAGAAAAAGGATGGAGGTTTGCGCCCGTGTATTGATTACCGCGGTCTCAATCAGATTACTGTGAAATATAGTTATCCACTCCCTCTGATTGCGACTATGACGGAGTCATTACACGGGGCACGGTTCTTCACAAAATTGGACCTCAGGAGCGCATATAACTTGGTGCGCATTAGAGAGGGCGATGAATGGAAGACAGCATTTAGTACTACCTCCGGTCATTACGAGTATCTCGTCATGCCATACGGGTTAATGAATGCTCCATCAGTCTTCCAATCCTTTGTAGATGAGATTTTCCGGGACATGCAGGGGCAGGGAGTAGTCGTGTACATAGACGATATTCTGGTGTACAGTTCTACCCGAGCCGAGCATGTAGCCCTGGTGCGCCGAGTATTGAGGAGGCTGTTGGAGCATGACCTGTATGTCAAGGCAGAGAAATGTCTGTTCTTCCAGGAGTCGGTCTCCTTTTTGGGTTATCAGTTGTCTGCGTCAGGGGTAAAGATGGAGGTTGACCGTGTGTCAGCCGTGCGTAATTGGCAAACCCCAACCACGGTTAAAGAGGTGCAGCAGTTCTTGGGTTTTGCGAATTACTACCGGAGGTTTATCCGGGGTTTTGGACAGGTGGCAGCTCCCATAACGTCCCTTCTGAAGGGGGGTCCGGTGCGCTTGCGGTGGTCAGCTGAGGCGGACAGGGCTTTTGGGAGACTGAAGGACCTGTTTACCTCGGCTCCGGTGCTGGCGCACCCGGATCCCGCTTTACCATTCCAAGTAGAGGTGGACGCGTCTGAAGCCGGTATCGGGGCCGTTCTCTCACAACGGTCCGGCACACCACCTAAACTCCGCCCCTGTGCTTTTTATTCGAAAAAGCTCAGTCCGGCGGAGCGTAATTATGACGTAGGGGACAGGGAGCTGTTAGCCGTGGTACAAGCCCTAAAGGTGTGGAGGCATTGGCTTGAGGGGGCTCAACACCCTTTTCTCATTTTGACTGACCACCGTAACCTGGAATACATTCGGGCAGCTAGGAGACTGAATCCTCGCCAGGCTCGGTGGACTATGTTTCTAGCCCGGTTCGTGTTTAAGATCACTTACATCCCTGGGTCCCAGAACGGGAAGGCAGATGCCCTGTCTCGGCGGTATGACACGGAGGAGAGGTCCGTTGAGCCCACTCCCATACTACCTAAGTCTTGTCTGGTTGCACCGGTGGTATGGGAGGTCGATACGGAGATCGAGCGGGCGTTACGCACCGACCCTAGCCCTCCACAGTGTCCGGTGGGTCGGACGTACGTCCCGCTCGAGGTCCGGGATCGACTCATTTATTGGGCTCACACGTCACCCTCCTCTGGGCATCCAGGTATTGGCCGGACAGTGCACTGCCTTAGCACAAAGTACTGGTGGCCAACGTTAGCCAGGGATGTGAGGATTTATGTCTCCTCCTGCTCGGTGTGTGCCCAGTGTAAGGCGCCCAGACACTTGCCCAGGGGTAAGTTACAACCCCTGCCCGTTCCACAACGACCCTGGTCTCACCTCTCGGTGGATTTTGTTACAGACCTTCCCCCCTCACAGGGGAATACCACCATCCTGGTCGTTGTGGATCGGTTCTCGAAGGCCTGTCGTCTCCTTCCCATGCCGGGTCTTCCTACTGCCCTACAGACCGCTGAGGCTCTATTTACCCACGTCTTCCGGCATTACGGGGTACCCGAGGATATAGTGTCTGATCGAGGCCCCCAGTTTACCTCCAGAGTCTGGAGAGCGTTTATGGAACGGTTGGGGGTTTCGGTGAGCCTTACCTCGGGTTACCACCCGGAGAGTAATGGGCAGGTCGAACGTGTCAACCAGGATGTGGGTAGGTTTCTGAGGTCGTATTGCCAGGGCCGGCCGGAGGAGTGGGCGAGATATGTTCCCTGGGCCGAGATGGCACAGAACTCTCTCCGCCACTCCTCCACTAAACTAACCCCTTTCCAGTGTGTGTTAGGGTACCAGCCGGTTCTGGCACCTTGGCATGAGAGCCAGATCGAGGCCCCTGCGGTGGATGAGTGGGTGCGGCGCTCGGAGGAGACGTGGAACGCTGCACACATCCATCTGCAGCGAGCCATCCGTCGACATAAGACGAGCGCCGATCTCCACCGCAGTGAGGGGCCAGTGTACGCACCTGGAGATCGAGTCTGGCTCTCGACCAGAAACCTGCCCCTCCGCCTGCCCTGCCGGAAGCTGGGTCGGCGGTTTGTGGGGCCTTTTAAAGTCCTGAGGAGATTGAACGAGGTGTGTTACAGGTTACAACTGCCCATTGATTACAAGAATATTAACCCCTCGTTCCATGTGTCTCTCCTCAGGCCGGTGGTAGCTGGTCCACTCCAGGACTATGAGATAGAAGAGACTCCTCCGCCCCCGTTGGACATCGAGGGGGCTCCGGCGTACACTGTTCGGTCCATCCTAGATTCGAGACGCCGGATGGGGGGTCTCCAATATCTCGTGGAGTGGGAGGGGTACGGCCCGGAGGAGCGGTGCTGGGTGCCGAGGAGGGACATCCTAGACCCGTCTCTTCTGACCGAGTTCCATCGTGGTCATCCCACGCGCCCTGCTCCGCGTCTTCCTGGTCGTCCCCGAGGCCGGGGTCGGCGCACGGCTGGAGCCGCGCATCAAGGGGGGGGTACTGTCACGGTTTCGGCCGAGGCTGCTCCTCCTCCTTGTTCGGGCAGGCTTCGGCGGTCGTCGTCTCCGGAGTACTAGCTGCCACCGTTCTATGTTTCTATGTTTGATTGGTTTTGTCTGTTTTGTTACACCTGTTCCTTGTTAGTGTTCATTATGCGTCCTATTTAGTTCTCTTGAGTTTGGTCAGGTGTTGTGTGTAATTGTTCGATGTCACGTGTTGTGTTAGTTCGTTGTTCTGTTCTCTCTGTATCGTTTTGTTAGAGAGAGTCCCGCACTTTGTGCGCATTTATTTTGTACTTACCATTGTGCGTAAAGTTCGCCTGTGGCCTGTTGCCGTGGTTGGCTTGTTTCTTGGACTTCACTAAAGACATCTGTTCGAACCTCTGTGTGTCCTGCGTGTGATTCTACGTTACCTCTACACTCAACCCTGACAGGATCGTCTTTTGATGGTGTTTAATCTATTGATCTAATGTATTTAATAGTTCTACTTTTCAGCCCTTTCAGCCTCTGAGCCTGATGATGGTGAGGTCCTTATTGCAGCAGAGCAGCTTGAGTCACAGAAGTCAGACGTGCCGCGACCAATGGAGTTACGAGTATCAAGTGAGTTTATTACATATAGTACTCACTGCTCAGCCTCTTTGAGTCTCATTCTACGTGTTTGTGTGGTGTATTCAAAGTATTTATAGTGATGACTTACATTTTAAATGATGTACTAGGCCTACACAGTATGTCTCATGTGATATAATGACCTGTTCTTTGGGGAATTTATCATCGATACATTATCTATCGGGTGGGGATGTTGTTGTCTTTTGATTTCAGGGAGAGACGTATGGCTTCCCAAGGGATGACAACGCACTTTGCCTGAGGTGGACCATAAGTGGGTGTCCAAGGTATTGTTCAGGTGGTCGGGGAATGGGATTCCAGAGATGGACTTTGCCAGGTTTGACAAAATGTGGTGGGAACCCCCTCCACCACCCCTCATCTGCAGCTCAGTACCGGTGATGGAGAGGTACTTTGCCCATCCTCTGCTGTTCTGGATGCCCAGGAAGCTCTGGCAGGTGAAGCTGTATTGCCCACATTCTGACTGTGAGAGGGGGGAGGTGACCTCATCAGGACTCCACCAGAAGATCAGGCAGGTTGTGGATGTGGACGGATCCTACTATGTGGCAGCAGAATACCTTCAATGTCCCAAGTGCAGTAGGAAGGTCATCAGTTGGAACCACAACATCCTTTCCCAGCTGGACATAGGCCACAGCATCCAGTTTCCCTGCATTTTGACAGCTAAACTCGCCTGTGACATCAAGGTAGTTCGTCTGATGAGACAGAGAGGCCTGGGGAACAGCAGCTGCCTGCAGAGGACTATCCGCTACCTGACTGACTGCAAGCGCTACTCCATTGCAGTCAGTGTTGGACTGGTGACACCAGTGGCATTCAAGAGCCCCCCCCCCCCCGACATGACATCTGTGCCCAAGCACCGCTGGCTAATGCAGGTATACGCCCAGGATGTCCTGCACCGACTGGATGAGGTCAAGGCCAGAATTACCTCCCAGTTTGGCACGGTCCCCAAGATTGACTCAACCAATAAGGTGGTAAAGAAGCTGGCAGGCCACAGTGCCAAAACCGCTGTGTGGGCCACTAATGTGGGAAATGAGCATGGACAAGTCCTCATGTCTGTGCTCACAGCCAGTGAGGGCAACAGACTGGGCCCTATGGTCGATGGCCTCATCAAAAGGTATGCGGATGCTGGAGGCACACCACCTGACATCCTGTATGTGGACAGGGACTGTTCAAGCCACATTCAGAAGATGTTCGCTGCCTGGCCACAGCTGAAGATGAAGCTGGACATGTGGCAGTTCATGAGGCGCATTGCAGTTGGTTGCAACACCGACTCCCACCAGCTGTTCATGAACTGTCTCAGCCAGTGCATTTTCCAGTACGACCAGGATGACCTGAAAGCACAGAAGGATGCAAAACGTAAAGAGCTGGAGGCAAAGCTCATGAGTCCATCAGACTCTGATGTCATGCGTAACATCACTCGGAGTGAGCTGGCCCTGCACTGCCGAAGAATGTGGCACAGAGGAGACCCAGGCTCTGATCACTGAGCTCATCAATGCCTTTGATGGTGAGAAGGGGTGTGACTCCGTGAACTGGGCGTTTTTGCAGGGCCTGCTTAGCGGGGTCAATAAGTACTCCACGGCGTTCGGTCGTATCTGGCTCTCCGTCGTCTTCATCTTCAGACTCATGGTCTTCGTCGTGGCTGCGGAGAATGTGTGGGGTGACGAACAGAAAGACTTTGACTGCAACACCCGCCAACCCGGCTGCCACAACGTCTGTTATGACCACTTCTTCCCCGTCTCCCACAGCCGGCTCTGGGCACTCCAGCTCATCTTCGTCACCTGTCCCTCGCTACTGGTCGTCCTCCATGTTGCGTACAGAGATGAACGAGAGCGGAAACACTGTCTGAAGCACGGCAAGGGATGCACCCGTCTTTACGACAATACGGGGAAGAAGCGTGGCGGCCTGTGGTGGACCTATTTCTTCAGTCTGCTGTTCAAGATGGTGGTGGACGGCGTGTTCATCTTCCTGTTGTTTTACATCTACGAGGCGTACTTCTTCCCGCTGGTGTTGAAGTGCTCAGAGGACCCCTGTCCCAAGAAGGTGGACTGCTTTATTGCCAGACCAACAGAGAAGCGAGTGTTCACAGTCTTCATGGTGGTGGTTAGCTTCGTGTGTATCCTCCTGACTCTGTGTGAGATCCTCTACCTGCTGGGGAAGAAGTGCAGGGAGTGTATCGGCGGTGGAGGGCCCCGTGCCATCAGGGAGAGCCCCCGGTTCACCATGCCAGCTACCATACCCCTGACGGCGAACGATAACTCTGTGTTCAAGAAGTCTGAACTGGAGAAGACGAAGATGGCTGATGGTGGAGTGGCTGAGACAGAGAGCCCTGCTCCGGGTTACAGTGTGGCTATCTCCTAAGACTGTTATCTTTAATTCTGGTCCTGGAGACGCCATAGCATAGTGCAGGCTTTCGTTCATGCCCAGTACTAATACATGATTAGATGCATCTAATCAAGGCATTGATGATTGGTTGATCAGTTGTGTGTTGGTACTGGTCCGGAACAAAAGCCTATGGAAAGCCTATGGAGCGTTTGGCAGTAATCAAGGCATTGGGGGCCAGTATGAAAAAATATAAAAAATAATAATGTAATGACTGTAAGTCGCTCTGGATAAGAGCGTCTGCTAAATGACTAAAAATGTAAAAATGTAAAATGTGTGCCTCTGATCAACTCCTGCAGGATGGAGGAAATCTGGAGGACACAGATCAAGCATGTGGCCTGCCTGCAAGACCCAGAGGGTGGCCAGTTATATAACCAGACTGGCATCAGCAATAAGGGAGGACTTCCCCTGCCCACATACAGATCTGCCAGAGGTTCCACGTCACTAGAATGCTTCCATCTTCACCTGAACCGATTCATCCCAGGTAAAAACACAATCAAAACAATTAACTTTTAATGTACAATTACTGTTGTCTCTGTTTTAACTGGTGGTTGTATTCGAATGTACCAACCCTGTGAATTGATATTTTAAGTACCCTAGCCAGTGATACCTTCTATCAGACGTACCTGGTTGATGGATTGGCGCGGTGGAATCAGGACATTGCTGTTGCAGCTACAAGTGACAGGAAGGAGCCACACTCCTACAGTGGCATCCTTTGCCACACTGCCAACACTCTCGGGGAGAAGGTGCTTGGAAAGAATATGGTTGCTTACACGCAAATACACTGGTAATAGCAATATGATTTTTATGTCATTAATATAATGCAGCTTTTATATTTAATACAAACAGCAACACATTTATCTTTGTGAAATGTTATTATAGAATTATTCCATACTCAGTCCGGTGTATTCTCATATATTTATGTTGTGGGTTTTTTCTTTAGGGGTGCTGATAGGTTTGGAGTACCTCTTCGATCAGACAGGTTTGGGATGATTAGGGCTTTGTGGAGCTTGTGGAATTTCAGGACCTGACACTTCCAGTGCTGGAGACAGCCCTGCCTCTTGTTGGCACCTTTCGTCCTACTCCCACCCCCTCTATCAGCATCCAGTCCACAGCTGCATCAGTCAGTCCCCTGTCCTCCACTCCTAATTAATTTGAGACATCACTCCAGTACAGTGGCCTGACTGTAACAGGTATGTTGAGGCAGTCGTCACTAAATTGTGCACGATGAATCCCCATCCCAAGTGAGTTGATGGAGTCAGGCTGAACCGGTGGACTCTCATAGGACATGGCTATAATAACATCAGAGGGTGTATCGTCAACAACGCCAGGGTGATGCAGGAGACTGACCTAATGCTGCCAGTCCTCAGCCATGCCACGTTAACACAATGGTATGCTTGAGTTGTGTTGATTTGATATATAAATGTCACTTTTGTATAGAATGGATGCCAAATATTGCACACAATGGAGTTCTTTCCAGAGCACTAATATTGTCTTTTTCTATTGAAGGTACAGCAAGCATCTTAAAGCACAGGAGAAGAGTGGGATGGAACAGGGCATCTCTGCACCAGATCCACCAATGGCAGAACCAGAAAGGCTCCCTTCGGCCAATCAAAAACGGCCTTTGGAAACTGGCTATCCCTATTATTTTACTATGCCTCCAATAACTGTTGGAGCAGCCCAGATCAAAAGGAGAAGAACAGCCCCGAGCGATGGCCTACCTGCCACAGTACCAGCAGCAGATGAGGGACGAGTCCCTGAAACACCTCCACCACAGGCAGCAGTACCATCTGTGCCTGGAACATCAGTGCTACCTCTCCTTGCCATACGGCCAATCCGCCCAGCTCTCCCTTAAGCGCAGCCTACGTTTTCCACCGATAGTCCCGCTCCCCCACTCATCCCTCTATTCCTGCTGCTCAAGTCACCTTTGTTTTAGGTCCCTTATCCACTCAGAGCATGACAACAGCTCATCCAACCACAACCTGTGCTTTACAGGAAGAGGAAGCTAAAAAGGAAGCAGGCAGGTACTTTCTGCAGGAATTACAACAAGAAGGCAGATGTGGTCTTGTGCAGCAAATGTCACAACCACTGAAAACTCCCCACCCATCAACAGTACTTTGGGAACTGGTATTGTGAGGAAAGTGCCACAACAGTCAGGCCAAAAAGCAAGTTCCAGACACTGGCCCTTTAATTCCCTTCTCCCCTCCCTTCCCTTCTCCCTTCCCTTTTTATTTATGTTATTTTGATTTAATGCACTTTGATTTTGTATTTACATTTGTTTCATTTATTTTAGTTATAGGTTTTCCCACTTTGTATAAACATTATACAAATAGTTTGAAGCACTTAAAGACATTGCCATTACATACAGCACACAGTTTTCCCCAAAGCAGCACCATCTGTATTCTCCCCCTTAATTCATTCTGAGCACAAAAGCCCTTAGCTGAATGCTTTAATTACATTTTGACCAATTAATGTCAGTCTTTAAATGCTACATTGTATAAACAATTGTATTTCACTGTGTGCATATTTTAAATTCTTATTAGGTCCACTGATTTCAAACAATTGGCGAGTATGCTCACGTTTGTCCAATTCTGTGTCTTCAATTAGGCTATTTGGGGGGAGGGTTAACTTCCATCAATGTAATTGTCTGCATCACTTCCAATCCCCCATATGTTTTTTTCTCGCAAATATACATACATATACATATACATATACATATACAGTGAGGGAAAAAAGTATTTGATTTTGTACGTTTGCCCACTGACAAAGAAATTATCAGTCTATAATTTTAATGGTAGGTTTATTTGAACAGTGAGAGACAGAATAACAACAAAAAAAACAGAAAAACGCATGTAAAAATGTTTATACATTTATTTGCATTTTAATGAGGGAAATAAGTATTTGACCCCCTCTCAATCAGAAAGATTTCTGGCTCCCAGGTGTCTTTTATACAGGTAACGAGCTGAGATTAGGAGCACACTCTTAAAGGGAGTGCTCCTAATCTCAGTTTGTTACCTGTATAAAAGACACCTGTCCACAGAAGCAATCAATCAATCAGATTCCAAACTCTCCACCATGGCCAAGACCAAAGAGCTCTCCAAGGATGTCAGGGACAAGATTGTAGACCTACACAAGGCTGGAATGGGCTACAAGACCATCGCCAAGCAGCTTGGTGAGAAGGTGACAACAGTTGATGCGATTATTCGCAAAAGGAAGAAACACAAAATAACTGTCAATCTCCCTCGGCCTGGGGCTCCATGCAAGATCTCACCTCGTGGAGTTGCAATGATCATGAGAACGGTGAGGAATCCGCCCAGAACGGGAGGATCTTGTCAATGATCTCACGGCAGCTGGGACCATAGTCACCAAGAAAACAATTGGTAACACACTACGCCGTGAAGGACTGAAATCCTGCAGCGCCCGCAAGGTCCCCCTGCTGAAGAAAGCACATATACAGGGCCGTCTGAAGTTTGCCAATGAACATCTGAATGATACAGAGGAGAAATGGGTGAAAGTGTTGTGGTCAGATGAGACCAAAATCGAGCTCTTTGGCATCAACTCAACTCGCTGTGTTTGGAGGAGGAGGAGTGCTGCCTATGACCCCAAGAACACCATCCCCACCGTCAAACATGGAGGTGGAAACATTATGCTTTGGGGGTGTTTTTCTACTAAGGGGACAGGACAACTTCACCGCATCAAAGGGACGATGGACGGGGCCATGTACCGTCAAATCTTGGGTGAGAACCTCCTTCATGACAATAACCCAAAACACACGGCCAAGGCAACAAAGGAGTGGCTCAAGAAGAAGCACATTAAGGTCCTGGAGTGGCCTAGCCAGTCTCCAGACCTTAATCCCATAGAAAATCTGTGGAGGGAGCTGAAGGTTCGAGTTGCTAAACGTCAGCCTCGAAACCTTAATGACTTGGAGAAGATCTGCAAAGAGGAGTGGAACAAAATTCCTCCTGAGATGTGTGCAAACCTGGTGGCCAACTACAAGAAACGTCTGACCTCTGTGATTGCCAACAAGGGTTTTGCCACCAAGTACTAAGTCATGTTTTGCAGAGGGGTCAAATACTTATTTCCCTCATTAAAATGCAAATCAATTTATAACATTTTTGACATGCATTTTTCTGGATTTTTTTGTTGTTATTCTGTCTCTCACTGTTCAAATAAACCTACCATTAAAATTATAGACTGATCATGTCTTTGTCAGTGTGCAAACGTACAAAATCAGCAGGGGATCAAATACTTTTTTCCCTCACTGTACATATATATACATATCCTTTAAAAATATATATATTTCCCTTTATTACTTTCCAACCCCACCACCCCTTCCCTAATTGGAGTAAACTAGTCAACCACAATGCTTAGGCCTCTACTTCCAGCTTATACATATTAAATTAGGCTATTTTATTGATTTACTATCCAAACAAAAGTGAAAATGAAGGTTTTGATGTTTACAGATTATAATAGATTGGGACAAACCAAAATTGACTCCTATTGGTTAACACATGTACCCTTCTGGGTATAAGAATCAGGGTCGAATCCTGACAGGGGTGAGTGGTTTGACAAAATAATACGATTTTTTTTGCATTTAAGCCACTGTTTGAATGTTACAATGTCATGCTGTGAAATATACTGAACAAAAATATAAACACAACATGCAACAATTTCAACGATTTTACTGAGTTACAGTTCATATAAGGAAATCTGTCAATTGAAATAAATAAATTAGGCTCTAATCTATTGATTTTACATGACTGGGCAGGGGCGCAACCATGGGTGGGCCTGGGAGGGCATAGGCCCACCCACTGGGCAGCCAGGCCCAGCCAATCAGAATGAGTTTTTCCCCACAAAATGGCTTTATTACAGACAGAAATACTCCTCAGTTACATCAGCTGTCAGGGTGGCTGGTCTCAGATGATCCCACAGGTGAAGAAGCCGGATGGGGTCCTGGGCTGGCGTGGTTACACGTGGTC